CACTAGTTCTTCTTTTCAGTTGGGTCAAGTTTCTAAGCTTTCTAAATCTCCATTTTCTGGCTAATGGAAAAAAAAAAAAGAATTCCACCAAGTCTCCTATCTACCTACTTCAGGACTTCTATGAGGATCAAATGAGATGAGGCACAGAAAAACACTTCACAGACATTTGGTTAAAGTGTGAAATATTTGTACCTGGCTATAAAGCAAGTCATATTCCTGGGCTGAAGAAACTCCAAGGAGGCTAGTTGTCACTAGGGAGAGGAAGCCAGGCGTTGCTACGTGACATCGTTACCCAGATGAACACTTAGCATATTAGCCATATATATATATGTAGACATATATTTCTGTGACTCAAGATTCTAAAAATAGATAACTAAATCAAGATATAGAAATAAGTATACACTAAAGCTGATTTAAGATGGTATCTGTCATCTATAAGCCCCTAAACTAAAAATTTCTTTTATCAGACAGCCTCACTTTCTTACTGTTGACTTTATAGTATGTACATGTTGTATAGTGGATGTTAAATTATTATCTTGTTTTATATGCGGGGGTTCTGCATAAGACTCTGAAAAAAGCACTGTGCTGTAAGAAGTTTAAAAATTCCTGGTCTATGGCAATCATTTCTCTGAACAATAAATATTAAAAAAGCTTCTTTTCATCTGCCCATACTTGAGACGTAAGGCTCAAATCATCAGGTCTACTATTGTGTAAAATGGCATTTCAAAATGTGTCTGTCGTGCTAAAGTCAGAAAAATGTTAATATTGGAATGTAACAGGAATCTGTTATGAAAAAGAGGCAACGTTAATATCTGAAGTAGGAAATTTAGATACCCCCCAACATGTTATATGTAGTTATTTCACTTATGTCATTGAAAATATGAATGTTTCAGTGATTGTAATATGCCTTACATACAATTATGAACAAGTCAAGAATTAGTTTCACATATGAGAATGTTAATTCTTAGAAGAACTATGATAAAAATGCCTACATTTAAGATTTCCCAAAGATACACACATCTGTACCTTTTTTTTAACTTTTAAAAAATTGACTGACTTTGGGGGGGGGGAGGAAGAGAGAGAGAGAGAGAGAGAAAAAGCATCAATTTTGTTACTCAATTTATTTATGCATTCACTGATTGATTCTTGTATGTGCCTGACTAGGGATTGAACCCGCAACCGTGGTATATCAAGATGACACTAACAAACTGAATTACCTGGCCAGGGCACATATGTAGCTTTATAAGGAAACCAATTAATTTATGTTACTTTACGTTATAGGTTCAATTTCCTCATCTATAAAGCAAAGTTCCAAGACTTAATATATTTAGACTATCTCTCCCAATACTGTTTAATTAGACATACCCAATGAGTTCTCTTTCCTGGTTTATTATATAAAGACCCCTTAAATGTTTTGGCTATACTTTAATACAGAGTCAAAGTCATTATTACCAAACCTACCCAAAATGGTTAGTGGGACTCTAAGCAGATTAAATCAGGCTGCTCTAAGACTGAACTCCCTCTCTCCACACTGCACAGAAGAAAACTTTGAAAGGTACACCTAGTTATTCCAGGCTGAATAAGCTTTAGTTCCTCCTTCTTCACTAAGAAGACAAGATCTAGAGGAGACTCTGAGAAAGGGTGGAGGGGCAAATAAAATTACAGAATTTTTGTGTTAGAAGGGAACTTAAAGATCATTTGATGTTATCCCTGTTGTTTTCAGACGAGAAAACTGAAGACCAAGGTTGAGTAAATGTCCATTACTATAGAGCCTATTAATGTTAGAGCAGTAACTAAAACCTAGGACACTCCAGGCTTCTAGTCACACACTCCTTCCACTCAGCCACTCTGAACAACATGCTCTTTAACTGTCTCCTCTGTTTATCCAAGACCTCCCTAGGTAAAGAGAGATAAGTTGCCAGAATGATCTGGAACCAACCAGGTAAATTAAAACAAAAGATAAAAAGGGTAACATTCAAACTGGATCTGATTATAACAAGATGTGTTCTAAAAAATGAAAGATATTTTAAAGAGATATCTTAATATTAGTATATTATAATTTGATTTTTTAAAGTTTATTAAAGTTTGTATACCTTAAGTATTTGAAGCATGAAATATCTACCTTTGACTGAACCAGGAAAAAGTCACTGTTATAAATGTGGGTAGATCCAGACTAAAGACCACTATTTTCAAACCTGGAAAATTTGCTCAGTCTTTCTTGGATCTAAAAAGTAATATATGACTAAAAGGATAAAAGAAGCCAGTCTAATTTTTAAAGTCTGGAACCACAGAACAAATAAATTATACAGAGACAATCTATGACAGTTTTAGTGTAAATATAATAAAATAAAAGAATTAAATTTAGTGAATACCCAAAACACTGATTTGAAAAAATATACACACCCCTATGTTCACTGCAGTATTACTTACAATAGCCAAGATATGAAAGCAACCCAAATGCCCATCAATAGATGATGAAATAAAGAAGATGTGGTACATAAATACAATGGAATATTACTTGGCCATAAAAGAATAAAATCTTAACATTTTTGACAACATGAATACACTGAGAGAGTATTATGCTAAGTGAAGTAAGGTGGAATAAGACAAATACTATATGACTTCACTTAGATGTGGACTGTAAAGAACAAACAAAACAGAAACAGATTCATAGATAAAGAGAATAAACTGAGGGTTGCCAGAGGGGAGGGGGATGGGTGAAAAAGATGAAGAGATGAAGAAAAGCAAATTGGTAGTCATAGAAAAGTCATGAGTATCTAAAGTAGATATATAGGGAATCTATATATATAAAAGGCTAATATGCAAAGTGTCCCCTAGGGAGTTTGACCGGGAGAATGGGAGTTCGATCACTCGCTATGATGTGTGCTGATCACCAAGGGGCAGCGCGGAACATGGCAGGCAACCAGTTAATTTATAATAGCTAAGATCTGGAAACAGCCCAAGTGCCCATCAGTAGATGAATGGATAAAAAAGCTGTGGTACACATGCTGGCTGGTGTGGCTCAGGTGGTTGAGCATCATCCCGTGCTCCAAAAGGTTGCTGGTTTGACTCCTGGTCAATGACACATGCCCAGGTTATGGGCTTGATCCCTAGTACAGGGTGTGCAGGAGGCAGCTGATCAATGTTACGCTCTCAGATGGATGTTTCTCTCTTGCTCTACCTTCCTCTATCTCTTAAAAATCAATGTTTTTTAAACTATTCTTTAGAAAAAACAAAGCTGTGGTACATTTACACAATGGAATGCTATGTGGCTGTAAAAGACAGAGCTCTTACCCTTTGTGACACCATGGATGGACCTGGACATTATTATGTTAAGCAAAATATGCCAGTTAAAGAAAGATAAATATCACACGATCTCACTTATATGTGGAATCTAATGAACGAAATAAATTGATGAACAAAATTGGTCCAGAGGCATGGATGCATGAAACAAAATGACAAATCTCAAAGGGGAGGTGGGGGCAGAGGGATGGGAAGAGATTAACCAAAAAATAAACTAGTATATGCATATATGTATAACTTACGGACACAGAAAATAGTGTGGGGAAGGTCTAAGGTGGAGGAAGGGAGACTGGGTGGACAGGGGCAAAGGCCGGAACCTGGGGGGCTTCTGTAATACTGTCATCAATTTTTAAAAATGTAAACAGGAAATAAATAATGATGATGATATTGTGATAACTATGTGCCAATTGGGTACTAGAATTATTAGGGGCAGGTGTGGTGTCTTTCCTAACCACCTGAAACTAATATAAAATAAAATGTAAACTGTAATTGAAAAAAATACTTTACCTTTGTGAAGTTTGATTGGACAAGAGAAGTCGGAATCAAAGGGATCCTCCTCTCCAGACGCCAGTTTCAGGGCAAGCTCCAACTCCACACACTCAAACACGTACAGAGAAGGAATGAGGTCGGTCCTGGAATCCCAGGACTTTTCTGACTGTAAAACAAAGCATATTTTTAGTCTTTCATGTCTATGTGAAAATGTACACAATGAAAAACAAAAGCAAAAAGCTGGATCAAATAGTGCTTTCAAATTCTTAATTCCACCCCTTATTCTGACAGTCTTTATAGTCTTCAAAGAGAAAAAAGTCTCCCTTCTTTTAGAAAGACAGGAATAAGCAAGTTCAGAGAAGAGCTAAATCAGTGACTCAAAAGTTCTTTATATTTGTCACCGAAGATTGCCAATTTGGTAGAGTCAAGAAAGAAATATGCAGGTTGATGGATCAAGTAAGTTGGGCACCTTCTGCCGAAACCGGTTTGGCTCAGTGGATAGAGCTTCGGCCTGCGGACTGAAAGGTCCCAGGTTCGATTCCGGTCAAGGGCATGTACCTGGGTTGCGGGCACATCCCCAGTAGATGTGCAGGAGGCGGCTGATCGATGTTTCTCTCTCATCGATGTTTCTAACTCTCTATCTCTCTCCCTTCCTCTCTGTAAAAACTCAATAAAATATATTTAAAAAAAAAAAAAAAGTTGGGCACCTTCTAACTTCTTCCCATTTAAATTTTTAAGATTAACTTCGTTCAATAACCAAAATATATAGAGGTGTCAGATAGCAAATGAAATTCCTCATCTAAGGATTTATGTTGGTACAGGATGTAAACTAGGTGCCAGAGATACAAATATGCACACACACTAGGCTGACTTACTGTTTGGTCATCTTCTTCTTCGCCTTCGAGCACAACACAGTGATAGAGCATTCCTGACTCGGTAGCAATCACTAAGATGTTGGGGACACAGGGTAGGCAGAGTATAGCACAAGCATCATAACCATAGTTATCTTCAGCCGCAGGATGCATAGGCAATGGACCCAACAGCTTTCCGATATTCGTAGGGCTAAAGAAAGGGTGAAACATATTTGTGTGAAAAAATATTGGTGCTGTAAGCTTTATTCTCTTTTCAAAATATACATACATGACAGCATGTTAAACCATTAACTATTATCTATGTTCTGATGACTCAATTTTTTTCTTCTGAAATGTTGCTTATCTTTGGGGCTCCAGACCCACATATTTAATTGAATTAGATTAATACATTTACTGAGAGCTCCATGACACCCCCACAGAACTGACATTTAACCAGAATTACTCTACCATGTGATACTAGTAAGTGTAACAATCCAAAGCTTTACTGAGAAATACAGAAAGGTACAAAAAAAGTGAGGTGTATAAAAATGGCATCACAGGTCAGTGGAGAAAGTATATTCTGGGAAGGGGTGGTAAACACCCCAAGCTAGGGAGCAGCATATACAAAGTCCTGAGGCATGAAAGACAAGGAATTAGCAAGAAGGAAACTGAGCTTAGTGTGATGGGAGGTGAAGTACAAAGTCTAAGGCAACAAAGAAGTGAAGCAGATTTTCAGGACTGGCTTACAAAGCAGATGATCTCTATGGCATGTTAGAGAGCGCAGAGTCTATCTGCTGGGGGACAGTGTGTCGCTTGAGGTTTAACCCCTTCCCCAACAATTTTTTTGTTAAAAACGTTTCTTTTTCAGACTAATTTTTTTATTTTGGTTCTATATAGTATTTTTGATGCTGGTTATGAAAACAGTTTGTAACTCGTCTTCCTATAAACCATATTTTTTTACCATATTTTCTTAGTATACTCGTCGACGACTGAAAAAGAACATTTTGTGAAAACGTGTATACACGTTTCTGCCGGGGAAGGGGTTAAATCAAGAGGGATGGAGCTTCACTCTACTAAAATTCATCTCGTAGTGAGAGTAGTAAGGAGAACGACATGGAGAGAACCTTTAAGAAGGACCCAGGCAGAAGATGATGAGGGTCTGAAGGAAGGACAAGGGCATAGAGAGAAGGCTGTATCAAGAAATTTTCATGTTAAAATCAATAGAATGTTGGGACTGGACTGATGGAAGATAATGTAGATGATTTTTAGGTTTGGGAATAAGATTATTAGGTAGATCATAGTGTAGACAAATGAGGGAGAGAGTAATAATGTTACACAAAAGTCTCCTGAGAGAGATCATGTGTGGAAGGCAGAGAACACTTCTGTCAAGGAAAATGCAATTAGTAGTGAAGCCTTACCATTCTGCAATCTATCAAGCTCTTTAGTTTTTCTCATCTTTATAATTTTGCATTCTCTCTCTCTTCCCTGTAACTACTTTTAAAAAAAGAAAAGAATTTACTGCGGTGATATTGGTTAATAAAATTATATGGGTTTCAGGTGTACAATTCTATTATATCCTCTTTCCCCCAAATTAGCTGCCCTTCCTGATCTCAGTATTTATTAATGGCTCACTACCATATCCAAACAATAACTAAGTCTTATTGATCCTTCCTTTGTAATATCTTCTATGTTCATTTCTCCCTTTGCATTACAACCATCGCAGTTCAAACTCTTGTAGACTTTAAGATAAATTCTACAACAGCTTCTTTAAAAGTCTCTCTGAAAAACAAAAACAATTGCCTGGCCAGTGTGGCTCAGTGTTGGAGCTTCGACCAATGAACCAGGAGGTCATGGTTTGATTCCTGATCAGGGCACATGTCCAGGTTGCAGGCTCGATCCCAGTGTGGGGCGTGCAGGAGGTGGCGGATCAATGATTACCTGTTATCATTGATGTTTCTATCTCTCTCCCTCTCCCTGAAATTAGTAAAAAAAAAAAATTTAAGAAAGTCTCTCTGCTCCAGTCCCTTCCCTAACCAATTATTTTATATTCTCCTGCTGAGAAACCATCACTACATTCTTACTACCCCATTCCTACAGAAAAGACCCACATTCCTTAACTAGGTGTTTAATCCATCAACTTCTCCCTGGGCAGATATTTCTAGCTTTATCATTAAATTTCCCTACCAGAATCCTCTCCTCTAGCCCCAAATATCTCATTGAATGACACTTGCATTTTTTACTTTCTATTTCATGCTTCCCTGGTAATTAAAATGCTCTTACCCTTTCTTGATGCTTCATTTAATCCTGCATTAGACCTTTAAGTCCCACATAACATCAGTGCTTCTCTATGAAAATTTCAGAATAATCTCTTCTTCTTCCTGGTTCTTACTGTCTTTGTACTGATGCGGTAATTATCTTTTCTTGTGTATGTATGTCTTTTTCCCACAGCTGGGACATAAGACACCAGATTACCATGTCTAACCACCCCCACAATATATTGTTCATATATGATACACAATAAATACTTTTTTGGTTGACTATACTTTGTGAAAACAAATTCAGTCTTATCTTAAGTGATTATCCAAGAATACTATCGCATTTTCCCATATTAATATGAGTAAATGAAAGGTCCTATGATCTGTACCAGAACTTTCTCCAAATGGTGCAAGCCACGCAACACCTTCCACAATTCAAAAACATAGATCCCACATCAAACCATGGCAATCAATACATACATAAATAAATAAATAACTCCAACTATGACAATAAGTAAATAAGTTGAATTATGACAATCTCTATTGGAGCACAAGCTGGGCTTTCATTTAGATGGGTCACCTCTCAACTTACCTGTGTAACAGACTAACATATGTAAGGAAAGTCTCCCCATTCTCATATAAGATGTACAGTGGGTATGCCACTACTTCATCTTTGCCTTTTTGTCCAAAAATATTCTTCGGGATGGCTGCCAATGGCCCAAAGTCAAATGCAACTGCTGTTTCTCCTAGAGATGCAGTATATGCCCTCCTGAAAAGAGATTTAAAAACCAACTTGTTGAAAAAAAAATCAAAATGTCCAATAATAGGAGATGGGATGGAAGTGTAGTCAACCAATAGAGAATACCAAAAAACTATGATTATAAAGAATGTGAAGCAACATTGGAAAATCCTCATAAAATTAAGTGAAGAAGGCCATACAATTATAAAATGCTACTTTAATTATAAAGACATACAAATAGTAAAAATATACACATAGAGACATGCACAAACACAAATAAGAAACAGGAAGAAAATCAATAGTTACATCTGAATAGTAAGATGCATTTACTCCACAAATATTTACTAAGTATCTGCTCTGTGCCAGGTTCTGTTGCAAGTTCTAGGAATACACCAGTGAATTAAACAAGGCCCTGCTCTTTAGTAACAGAGACCTACAACAGAGAAGTAAACACATAACTCACAGTCAGAAAATGATGCCATGAAGAAAAATAAAGGAGGGTAAGAGGGCACTGATGGAGGTGCTGTTTTTTAGAGGAGGTGGTCTGAAAGGATTCTGGTAAGAGGATACTTGAGACTTTAAGGAAGCAACGGAGCACATCTGGGTTACATAGGGAAGGAGCAGTTGAGGCAGAGGGAAGGACACATGCAAGGTTCTAAGGTGGGAAGGTGGTTAATGGTGTCTAAGGAATGGCAAAGAGACCAAGGTGGTTAAAGTTAGAGAGCCAAGGCACACAGGGAGAAATGAAGTTGGAGAGGGGGCAGTCAATGGAGTATGGAGAGCAAGAAAGTAGAATGATCTGATTTATACCCAAAGTATCACTCTGGTTGATATATTGAGTTCAGACAATAGGAGACTACAAAAGAATTCATTTTCTTAATACTTCACTATAGTTTTCCCAATTTTCTATAATAAATATACATTATCTTTAAAAAAATATATATATATTTTATTGATTTTTTTTTACAGAGAGGAAGGGAGAGGGAGAGTGAGTTAGAAACATCGCTCAGCTGCCTCTTGCACACCCCCCACTGGGGATGTGCCCTCAACCAAGGTACATGCCCTTGATCAGAATCGAACCTGGGACCCCTGAGTCCACAGCCCGACGCTCTATCCGCTGAACCAAACCGGTTAGGGCTATACATTATCTTTATAATCAGAAAAGATAAATGATAAAACATGCTGTTTTTATAATTTTAAAATTTAGTATAATTGATTATTCAAAAAAGATTCCAGAGTAATACAAGGTTAATGAATATGGTTAAAATAAAACCACATTTTCATACAGATGATAATCAACATCATTCTAAGTAAGGTATTGTAAGTACCATATGATAGTTTTTTTTTATCACATGGAAAGGTATATGGTTATCAGGAAACTTAAAATGAGAAATCCCAATATCCAGAATAAAAGAACTGCGTGAGTTAAACTAAAAAATTAAGACAATAAATGGGAACAAACAGACATAGAAATTAAAGAGACTTAAACTTCCAAGCCATTAAAACTTAATGGGAACTTATCAAATTTAGTAATATTTCTAATTATCTATCTAATAATGATAATTGGTATCAACTAATAAGGACTTATCTGTGCCAAGACCCATGCTAAGTACTTTTAATGCATGATCTCATTTATCCTGCACAATAATCCCAATGAGCACTATTATTACTTTTTGTCTGTTATAAGTATTGCTACCCTAGCTTATAATTTTTAAAAATGTTTTTCTCTTTATTGATTAAGGTATTACAAATGTGTCCTTATCCTCGCATTGTCCCCCCATACCCCCACTCATGCCCTCACCCCCCAGTGTCTATATCCATTGGTTAGGCTTATATGCATGCATACAAGTCCTTTGGTTGATCTCTCCCCCTTAGCCCCACCCTCCTCTGCCTTCCCTCTGAGGTTTGAGCATCTGATTGATGCTTCTCTGTCTCTAGATCTATTTTTGTTCATCGGTTTATGTTGTTCATTATAATCCACAAATGAGTGAGATCATGTGATATTTATCTTTCTCTGACTTATTTCACTTAGCATAATGCAGCCACTGTGGAGAAGAGTATGGAGTTTCCTCAAAAAAACTAAAATTGGAACTTCCATTTGACCCAGTGATCCCACTTGTAGGAATATATCCCAAGAAACCAGAAACACCAATCAGAAAGGATATATGCACCCCTATGTTCACAGCAGCACAATTTACAATAGCTAAGATTTGGAATCAGACTATTATTATTTTTTATATTTGTGGAATAGTTATGGAAATGAAGCTTAATGCAACTGAATAATTTGCTCAAATGCCACAGCTGACAAGTGGAAGAGCTGAGATTAGAAGCTAGTTGTGTTGACACCAGAGCCAAAGCTCTGAACAGTTGCATGGCTCTCTTTGCCTCTCATCTAGTCATGTGTCAGTCAGAAGAAGGTATAAGCTATGGAAGCACTGCAGGGGAGAAAATGTCCTGACACCACAACAGGGCCTGTCACCTCCCAGAGGCAGTTATTTCCCTATTGTGGAGATGGACACACTGAAACTGAAGTAGCTGCTGCTGTAAGACATTAGAATCATTTAACTGAAACTTTCAATTCTGGGGCTATCAAAGAGAATCAAAGTGATCCCAGGTTGGTGGCAACCTCTAACTCCTAGTAGAAGCTGATGAAAATCCTCTGTGAAGGAACACACCCCAATTTGTGCTCTTAATATTCCCAAACATCAGTTCAATAATAAACTGAATTAAAGACTTAAGAATAATAAACGGAATTAAAGAATTAAGACCCCAAACCATGAAACTCCTAGAAGAAAACATAGGCAGTAAACTCTCTGACATTGCTCTTTGTGATATATATATTTTTTGATACAAC